TTTACTAATGTAATGATAATAGGAGGTGCCTTCAAAATTTTTGTGAGAAGGGTGCATGTGGTGTTAGAAAAAGGCGTGCATTAAAACTATAAAATACTTAAATCATAAGTAAATGAGATAAATCATAAAATAAATACAAATTAAAAAGATTACGTGTTATAAAATAAAATGCAAAATTTATATGATTTAGCTTAAATACATCTATATTCATAAAGAGAAGATCTTATTCAGTGACAAAGAATACAAAATAAAAGATCTTATATGATTTAGCTTAAATACATCTATATTCATAATACAAGATGTTATTCAAAGAATTTGCTCAATAAAGAAAAAATAAATATTAAGACATTCTTAGATGAAAAAGAAATAACTTAGGAGCTAGCTATAGTAAAAGATAGATGATTAGATAACTACTAAATAATAGTCTAATTTTGAAGTTCCATATAAATGCATATTTGATTTGCATGTCAACTATACTATGAACTCCTATAAACAAACTTATTATGATTTACTTCACTTTTTTCTCCTCATACCCCTTTCTTTCTATTCACAATTCCTTCTCAAAACATCCCAATACAAATCTACCTATTTTAGGCAAAATCATGTAACATATTTTCTATTGTTCACTAAAGAAGCTTATTACATGTGTCACAATATAATTCATAAATGGAAATTAAAAAAACACCTATCAAATTAAATTTCAATATTATTTCAAAATTTGATATAAGAAACTTGATTTATGCCGCATCATGTGATTTAAGCATAGATTTTGAGTACTTGATCAATCTTGCTATTAAATTAATATTACAGGACCTAAGGCTCTTTTATGACTTTTCAACTCTAAATCACACATCATAAGCTTTCAAAACTTCAATAGGCCCAATATTATGCCATTTTAAAATGCTTAATTTTTTTAAGCTAATTATCTATTTGAGATTTAAATTATGCAAATGTTTACCTCCAAAATGATCCATTGTCTATGATAGAATGAACTTAAACCTTAATTGTGCAATAGCTCAGGCTTATGCAGCCTCCCTTTGTATGCTTTTTGGTTTCACCGAAACACATAGGCTGCCTTCAAAGCTATTATAATAAAATGATAATTAGTGCTGAAATTCTTATAATATATTTAGGCATAGTAAGTCATAGGTTGCCTTCAAAGCTATATGCTATATCTTAACTAACTCATTTAATCATAATATCCATTGGCTTGAAAAAATTAGTCCTAAATCATGTAGTTGAGATAAACTTCACTTGGAAAATTAATAAAATTTTGTACCTTTACGACACTTTAAAATAAATAAATATATATTCTTTGTGCCTTGAAAGAGTGAAGCCATCGGAGAATTAATGAGAATGGGTCACCTTTAGAGATAAAAGGTGAACTCTTTATATGTATTTAATAGGAGATAATGTAATACATGCATATTCCCTGTTTCTTAATACTTAATAGAAGAGTGGATTGTATTATCTCAGAAGATAAATGACATCAGTGGTGTGTGTGTGTGCCGGGGTGGGGTGGGGGGAGAGGGGGGGTGGGGGGAGGGAATGAAACGTGCGCGCTCCTAAGAAGACCTAAGTTGGATCCTTACGGGGACGACTAACACTTATGGAGAATGATACTTCCAAATACCACCCTTTTATATCTGTGTGTGTGCCCACCTGCGTGTGTGGAGTAAGCTACCTTTTACTTCTGGAAGTGATATACTACCTATTCTTTAATGTACTTAAATGGCACATATGTATTCATCTATCACTTATTAAACTCATGAGGGGTGTATGCCTTTTAGCTCTAAAAAAAGTTAACATATTATTTCCCCAAATGCATCTGTTAAAGATAATAGAATTTTAATGATTATGTCGGAGAATTATGTCTATCTCCATCTTTTATAATAGTCATCTCATAACTTAATTATCTTTTATTCACTTTATTTGCAAATGTGAATACTGATCTTTTTATCGTGTCATATATATTTCTTTTTTAAAAAGTGGGTATTCGATAACTCAATTTTTTGCTTACATTAGTCACACTTTAGTGGATAATGTTTCACATAACTTTTTTATAAAATTAAAGTAGTTAATATTTTAAAACTCTTTATTTTTTCTATCGCCGCTTATTTTAGTTTTGTGTTAGTGCAAGTTTTTCCTTATTACTAGTTTTGTAGACTTAATCAAAGATGTAGGTTTAAACATTTTTGCATGGTGACACTATGAGTATGTTATGGGTGTACATTTCCTTTATTGTTCACTCGTGTATCTTAGCATTTAATTTGATTACAACAAGTCTTATGTGATGCTATATAAAAATTTTCAAAGTAGTTGTTTAAAGGATTTTTTTAGAAGTAATCACAAAGATAATCAAGATAGTTTTTAATGTTAAATAGGTGTAATTGTTTCATTTGTTATATGGAGGTTGAGAACCAAGTGGTTTATTACAATAAAGATAATCGTAGTGGATAACTATAACTTATGAAGATTGCAAGGATATAAATTTTATTGTAAAGTTTTCAATGCAATCAATTGAATAAGATTACTATGAAGATTCAAAGATGATGATGATCATATCAATAAAATTGATAAAAAAAACTTAAATTTATGTTTCAGAAGTAACAAAAATATTTTATGATTTCTAAGAGTTCCTTTGCATTATTTCTTCTTAAATTTCCTTAAATTCTTATCTAATAAAATTTAAAAAATAGTTTAAACATTTTTATTTTGTTATCATGACCAATTTTTTTTCATATTCATGAGCTTGAGTATTAATGCCCATAATAAACTTACTTCATTTAAAATTATTCACTATTTAATACATTTACATATTTAATAATTCTGTCATTAATTACTCCAATAAGGAAATGAGAATAATTATATAAGAACCCAATTAATTTTAATTATATATATATATTGTGTTTTGTCAAATTTAATTGAATTTATAGGTATATTATTTAGTTGATAAATTGTCAAAAAATGATTTTTTTTAATTAATCATGTTCAATGTACACTAATGAAGCTATTAATAGCATAATTATTTTGTATAGTCAAACTTCAACCTCAATTTCATCGTCACTAAATCCCATATTCTCTTAATTCAAAATCAAATATAACTTTTATACATTACCTTATATATTTCAAACTTTTTAATATAATAGAGAAATTGTAAAATTGGCATTAGATCCTTTTTGCAAAATTTTCTATAATAATTGTTGGCCTACACTAGGTTTAGCAAACACCTATTAAGATTTTAGTTAATTAAAGTGAGGCATATATAAAACTACAACTACCATCATATTATGCCACCATCAAATAGCCAATGGGCATAGGAGATGCTTAGCTTATACTTTAAAATTTCCAAAAATACTTTATAGGTGTTAAGTATTCATCTAAATCAATTCTTTTGAGCTTTTCATAATTTATATTGCCTTTAATATTTTAGAAAACTTGTAGTTTTGCCTGTTTAGAATTTTTTATTGTGCAATCACAATCAAAATTTTGAGATTTTGTAAGATAGGTGAAAGTGTCTAATTCTCCTTCAAAATTAAATAAAATATTGGCTAAATACTTTCTTATAGAAGAAATATAAGGAGGTGGGGGATTATTATAATATAATTATATGAAACTTTTCTAAGTTGGAAATATGTTTACTAAATAGATGGAAAAAGATAATTTCTCCATGAAAATCTTTTCATTATACTATTTAGGTTGAAAACTAAAATCATTTTTATGCTCATTTTAGATAAAATGATGTAATTAGTGCTTTATATTTTCTCATTCCTTACATAATATAAAAGAAAATTTGAAAATTAAGCTATTAAAGACAAAAGATAATTTTTTTATTAAAAAATAAAAAATTACAAAATTTGTGCTTTTCATAAAAATATAAAAAATTAGCTGCCTATGTTTCTCCCATAAATGCCTCAGAACAAATATAATTTGGCCAGAGAGAAAACTAATATTCCCAGAGCAAAAGATAGGAAAGTAAATAGCAATAGAAAAACTATATAATAGAGAAGAAAAGGCATAGCAAAAGGAGTGATACATTTTGGTCTCTACCAACGTCATTAAAGCTCCTATAAAGTGAGAATTTTGCATTGTTTCTTCTTATTCTACATAAACTATATAATAGAGAAGAAAAGGCATAGCAAAAGAAGAAGTGATACATTTTGGTCTCTACCAACGTAATTAAAGCTCCTATAAAGCAAGGAGAATTTTGCATTGTTTCATCTTATTCTACATCTAGGGCTGTCAATTTGGCTCGTTGTTTGTGAACAGCTCGTGTTCGGCTTGTTAAGAAAAATTATATAACTTTTTATATAACAATATATTACATATATTATTTATATAATAATATATTATATATATTTATATCTAAGTTTAAATCATAACACCTCAGGTGGCAATGTGGTTAGTGTCTTCTTTTGTATATATTTGATCCAGGTTCGAATCTCACACTTTAAATCTATTGTTCTCAATTTTAGTTTAACGAACCAATTTCGAGCCGAACACGAGCCGAACACGAACACGAATATTTAAATCGAGCCGAACACGAACACACTGTTCAGGAGCCTTATTCGAACACGAGCTATTTCGAACGAGCCGAACACGAGCCAAGCCTGAGCTCGTTCAAGCTCGGCTCGTTTACAGCCCTATCTACATCCATGAATTATATAAATTCCAGGGTCAAATTTTAATATCAACTCAATACACAAGTGATAAAAAATGCACTCCTTATCTTGTTAGTTATACATTTATACTTCAAGAGAATTTAAACATAAATATACACACACATCCAAATATAAAACTATTTTAAAATATTTAAACCATCACTCCAACATAATAAAGCTGCAATACATCCTCAAAGAATACCAAAACAATAATAAGCACTGTTGTAACAAACCACTACAGGATGTCCTATTCCATCCTTAACTACCATCTACTATTACATCAAAACACTACTATTTTAACACTACTTTCAAAAACATAAAAGTCATGCAAAGCTACACTCATAAAAAAAGTGGACAGTAATCATAATCAAACACATCATCAGTCCAACACCAATTCTCCATCAAAGCTGCTTCTGAACCAGCCCGAACCTGACCATTCATGGCTGTCTGACTTGGACTCAGCTCCCACAAAGGCTCTTCCATCAAACAACCTAAATCATGATTTCCTTCCTCCACTTTACTGACAACCCTAGAGAAATCATCAGAAGGAACAACTTCACTTGGTGGTGAGAAATCAAGTACCTCAGTGTTGAGTCCACAAGACTTGGAGGTAGCACATCTAAGAGAGCTTTCAGTTACAATACTGCTGAGGTCACCAGACTTTGTATCACCATAGAATTCAAACTCACAAGGGAAGTCATCACTTGTTTGGTTAGATGGTAAGGGAAGTGGAAGTGGATGTGGAGATGTGAGATTGGGTGATGAAGTTGATGATGAAGCTAGGGTTAGGGTTTGGTTGGATGAAAGAGGGAAGGAGGAGATGGAGGAAAGTTCGGGATAGATGAAGTTTGTTCTAGCTTGAGCTCCTTTTAAGGAGATTGCAGCTTTGTCATAAGCTAAAGCTGCTTCAAAAGCTGTATCAAATGTGCCAAGCCAATGTCTTTCCTTTGTTGCAGGGTCTCTTATTTCTGCTGCATATCTTCCCCATGGCCTTCTTCTCACTCCAAGAAACCTACCTGGCTCTGTTATCCTTCTTCTCCCTCTTTTTTCAGTTGTTGGAAGATTAGAAGAGATGTGATGGATGTAGGGATGGTTAAGGAGGGGAATGCCATTTTGAGTTGGAGCCAAAGTTTGTTCTGAGGGTTGTTGGGTTCTTCTTTTTAGGGTTTGAGAGTTAAAGAACATGTTGAAGTATGCAACAGAGCTAGACTATTGTTTGTTTGTTTGTGTGATGTTTAGGTTTGGTGGGGATGAAAGGAGAAGGAATGGAGGAGTTGGGTTGATTTAAAGTGTGTGGATATGTGGAGAAGGGGAAGTGGAAGGAGAGAATTGATGGGATGTTTATGGTACATGTACTTATTGATGGACAAGCCTACACATACTGTATCATTCTATCTTCTTCTCTTTCCTTTTGCTTGCTAGCTTGTTTTAGTAGTCAGGTTTCGCTGCTGTGAATGATTAAAGCACTGTCCATTGGCTGCAGGTGCGGGAGATTGTATAAGTTTCTTTTGTCTTGATGTCTCAACGGTTTATAGATTTTTAAATAAGTTCATGAAATAATTGTGTAATCAGTGTCTGCGGAATTCTTAATCACCTTTCCATTAAGAAACGCGGGAGATTGTATAAGTTTCTTTTGTCTTGATGTCACAACGGTTTATAGATTCTTAAATAAGTTCATAAAATAATGGTGTAATCAGTGTCTGAGGAATTCTTAATCACCTTTCCATTAAGAAACAAATGAAGAAGAAGAAGAAAGATTATAAGTCAATTAATATTTTTTTCATTTAACTTAATTTCATGATAAAATTGGATCTAAAACAGTTTGTTTCCATCTTTTGTTGCTCTTTGAGCTATAAAATTACTAAAATATTTAGCACCGTGAATTTGATCATCCGCAACGGGGGAAATATTTCTATATGGAATACATGCGCGTACTCTAATAACCCTGCAATACCCCTATATTAACCCTTGAATAACACTGAAATAGAACCCGCGAATGTTATTGAGAGGTTATTGGGGTTATATGTTGTTGGAATTAGTGCCTCAATAACCTATCAATAAACCCCTATTAACCTCGAAGCGGAGGTTATTGAGAGGTAATTACGCATGTAGAGCTGCGTGCGTGTTCCATATGGAAATATTTCTCCTGCAACAAACTTCTAAAACACATATTTTGCATGAAGAGGAGTTCATTAATTTTAAAAGTGCACTTACTATGGAACTTTTATAACTCTATGGTGTTTTTCATCTTGCCATACATTCTACATTAATACAACTAGACATGGAGAAAGACCTATGTAACAAAAATTGGATCAATTTAATAATAATTTCATGAAGTCATCATAACATATCATACATGAAAATGTTTTGAAACTTTTTCCATGGAATGAATACCAAATCTTCTTTGCTTTTATGATATACATGGTTAAAATAGAATTAACAATTGTTCCTTTGGTTAATTTTGCAAAGACTTTGGAAAAGAGTAATTGGATTGCAAAAACAAGAAATAAGATAAACATCTTTGGTTCTCCAAATTACAAAATTATTGAACAACTTTATTTTAAACTTCGAAGTCATGAATCTCAGACTTGTGATCAAATATCAATTTGTTGTAATGGAGACATGAAAAGACATGAAGGGAAAGCTTCTCTAAGTTCATGGGTTATGAAGCAAAATTATACAGATAAAAGTGAAAAAAATAGCACAAATGATATTTATTATATGTGGTTCGACTTGAATATTTGTTGCATCTATATATGAGAGGAGAAATACTTTAATCAAATGAAAAACGAAGAAGAACACACACACATATGTCTCAAAAATCTTAAACCGATGTACACATAAAGCATAAGCTCTGCAACTAATCACATGATCAAATTTATCTATCATGAAATATTTTACTCCCTACATAGATGAATTCTCCAAAACTCTCCAATAAAATGAAGAGTAATAGGAGTATGACAACAAAGTACTTGGTCATGATTATTACTTAGCAAAGTCCATGTTCTCATGACATTTTGTTAGCTTAATCTTTTATGTTATAAAAATGTAACAAATGACAAATAGTCCTATTTAAAATGTTACATCAACGTTTAGTTTGAGGAATTTTGATCAAAGGATCATTTGAGATATTATAATAATGAATTAGTATCCCACTCGTAATAAGATGGTGGTTGAAAAATGACATATCATGTGATTGTTAGATCAAAATATATGATTATTTTTTCAAATTATGAGAAAAATTAAATTTTATCTTAACTCAAATAAGTTTGACAATTATTTTATTATACAAAAATACTTAAATTGAAATTTTTATACCAATATCATATAAATTTGAGAAATTGTTCATCTAATTTGAACATTAGTCTAATACTTTCTGAGGGCTGAGTTTGGCAAGAGAGATGATAGAGAAGAGGTCTGAGTTAGAAATCAAGCTGCCCCCAAGAGAAAGAAAATGTTTTTTTTTCTGTATTTTCTTTACATGAAATAATTTAAAAATAAATAAATAATAAATATCTTTTGTAATTTTTATTTCTTCTTAAAAATAAATTAAAAAAGATGCCAAATAGGTCTTTAAAAAGTGTATTTCTATATAATTCTAGTTCTTCATGGTGAAACTTTTTTTGTGGTGTTGCTCCATAGTTTTTTTCCTTTTCTCAATTTTTTTTTTCATGTAAATCTTGGTGTACTTTTATAAGAATTATTTTGATGTGATTCTATTCAAAAATTTATTCTGAATTTCTCGAATTGGTGTTTTCCTATTCTATGTTGTAATTTTGATTTGAATTTGATTGATATCCTTAGTTTTATTTTCATCACAACAAGTGGGAGCAATGATCGATGAAGTGAGATATTAAGTGGAGAAGTTCAATAGATCAAACTTCATGTTTTGGAGGATGCAAGTATAGGATTTATTGTATAAAAAATTATATTTGCCACTACAATGGATCACTAAGCAGTCATAATTGTTGATTATGTAGGATGAGAAGTGCTAGATCGAATGACCCTAAGTTTGATCCATTTTTCACTCAACTTGTTTGTTGTATTCAATAAAGTGAATGAGAAAATCAAGGTGGATCTTACGGCGGCACTGACAAAGATGTATAAAAAATCTTATGCTTCAAATAGAAATTTATTAATGAAGCGGTTATTCAACATGAAGATGGTAAAAGACAATTTAGTGGTTGAACACTTGAATAAGTTCAACACTATAACTAGGCAATTGTGTTTTGTGGGGATCAAATTTGGTGATTAGATCAGGGCACTATTAATTAGAGCCATGAATTTAGCTCGAAGATCTTCAATCTCTTGAAGATTGATTCAAATTTTAGCTCGGATCAAGATCGGATCGAAATAAACAAGTCGAGGTACGAGCCAAAATTTTGGAATAAATTCTTTTCGAGCCGATTTTGAGCTAACTCCGGCTAGGCACAAAATAAGATCATTGACAACATGTGACTGTGAATTTAGTGAATTTAGCTTGAAGATCGTTAATCGCTCAAAAATCGTTAATTGCTCAAAAATTGATTTGAATTTTGGCTTAGATCGATATCATATCGAAATAAAGGAGCTGAGTTACAAGCCAAAATTTTGGATTAAATTTTTTTTTTGGAGCCAAACTTTAGCCGACTTTAGTTCGGCTCAAAATCAGATCATTAATAGCCTTACTATTAATTATGCCTTCATTGTCGGACAGCTGGGATGGTTTGGTCATGGCAGTGAGTAACTTTTCTTGGAATATGAAGTTGAACTTCAATGACATATCATGGGGTTACAACTAAATGAAGAAGTTCACAAAAAGACAGAGAAGAAATGTGGACAGAAATATGGTTACAACTAAATGAAGAAGTTCACAAAAAGACAGTGAATGGTGAATATTTAAGTTCTACATTGAATGTTGAAATAGGAGAAGAAATGTGGACAGAAATACGATAAAAGACAGATTTAAGTCTAGAAGAAGAAAGTTCATGTCAAGTAGAGGAAATGACATAAGAATTCTAAAGCTATGGAAAGAAAGAGCATTTTAAGAATGACCGCAAAGCTCTAAAAACGATTGGTGGTAGAGGCCAAGAAAAGATTCTTTCTATAAGTGTCTCCACTAGCAAAATCCAAAAGGCTCACAGGTGTTATTCATAGTTAGTACGAAATCTTGGATAATGGATTTCGACACCTCTTTTCATACATGCCACAATAAGAGGGGTTTAAAAATTACACTCAAAGTGATATAGAGAATATTTATTTAGGAAACCGTAAGGCCTCCATTATAGTAGGAAAGGGCGATGTGCATATCGAGTTGTCAAATGAAATAGTGTGGAAGCTTGCTAAAGTTAGACATATTCCGAATTTGAAAAGAAATATGATCTCTGTGAGCCATCTGACAAAGTGAAGCTAGTATGTCATTACTTTCATAGGTGAGTCGTACAAGGTGACCAAAGAGTAGTGGTTCATTTTGATATTCATCAAGTTGTAAGTAGCTTAAGAAAAAATAAATAAATAAAACATATTCTTTGAAGCCGTTGCGGCTAGGGCTGTCAAATGGCTCGTTGATCGCGGACAGCTCGTGTTCGGCTCGTTAAGAAGCTCGTGTTCGGGTCGTTAACTTCGTTCGATAAGTTACCGAGCCGAAGACGAACAAATATG